CGCACGTCATGCTGGGCTACACCGTCGTCGTCGCCCTGCTGGCGTACTTCCTCCTGTTCAGCGGGTTCTTCATCAACCGCGACAGAATCCCGGACTACTGGATCTGGTTCCACTACCTCTCCCTCGTGAAGTACCCCTACGAGGCGGTGCTGCAGAACGAGTTCGACGACCCGAACAAGTGTTTCGTTCGGGGGGTTCAGATGTTCGACAACACGCCCCTAGGGGCGCTGCCGGACGCGCTGAAGCTGAGCGTGCTGAAGGCGATGAGCGGATCGCTGGGGGTGAGCTTGACGAGCTCGACGTGCATCACGACGGGGTCGGACATCTTGAAGCAGCAGGGGATAACGCAGCTGAGCAAGTGGAACTGTCTTTGGGTGACGGTGGCCTGGGGGTTTTTCTTCAGGGTTCTGTTTTATTTTAGCCTGTTGCTGGGGAGCAAAGGGAAGAGGAGGTGATTGGAGAGGGTGATGGAGGAGGGGGTGATGATGATGGTAATTTGTTTGGTGTTTTAATTTGTAATTTTTTTTTCTTCTTCTCATATACATTATGTTTTTGATGTTTTTTTTTTCTTCCCTAAATGCAAGGTTTAATCATTATCATCATTATGGGATGATGATGAGTTAATTGTGTAATGTGATCATACTCATGGAATAAGTTCAAGTGTTGAAGAGATGATATCTTTCTCAATATATTTTTTTATGTTTCCCAAATTTTTTTTTGATAATTTACAAGTTAATTAACATTGATAGAGTGATAGCTGAAGTATGAACACATCCTCTTCTTTTCGTCATTAATTCCTACCTTTGCATTTTACCCTCTTTAATAACACTCTGCATTTCTGTAGTGCAAGCAACATTGTGAAAAAAAAAATCCATGAAATGAAGCAAGAATAACTAAGAATTAAGTAGCCTAGAAATGAGGCAAGGTTGGGTAGATGTTAGCACACATGTAAAACGTGAGGAGAGTATTACTTGAAAAATAAAAAGCAAAGTAGAAATTCCTTTGATTATATGAAGAAACTTTTCGCGTAACTTGATTTATGAGCGTAGAAGAAGAATCTTTTTCACTAAAGATTAATCATTATCATCCATTAACCGATATACTGTTATGATTTAGAAAACGATCCATTCTTTCTAACTGTCCGGATTCTCCATAATCTTGATTGTAGAGGAAATCTAGAATTAGTTATGAAGACTAATATTATTGATTTATCTTAATTAAAATTTTAATATAATATAGAATATTAATATTATTCATGGGTTCCACATAGGGCCTTTTTGGTTCATTTTCAAATAATAAAGGAATAGGATTCCAATGGGGAAAAATTGTTTTTAATTTTTTTTAGTTTTTCATGCATTTCTTTGAAAAACTTTTTTTTTTCTTTGTTTTGCGCAACGAAAGGAAAGAGGAATTCTTCATCACAAATCCATACTTCAGATCAAAACTTGAAATTAGGAAATGACATATTAAGAAAAAGATATGTACTCAACAAACTTACCATCAACCATTTTAAAATATTTTTAACGCATTTTCCTCTCAATTCTACCTTAAAAACTCGGAATTAGCTTTTCTTTAAAAGATGATGTTTTGTGACATTATTAAAAAAAAAATTCCCAATTGCTTTCTTGTGAATCAAATTGCAAAATAGGAATCATTTTTGGCTATTTTGACACAAGAAATTCTATGTCAATAATTTTCCATGTGTTTTTCACCCAATTTTTAAAACCAAACAGGCCCATATATAGTGAAAAGAATTGATTGATGAATTGTAGAGTTTCTCTACCACGATCAAAGACGTAATTATGTCAAGAAGATATCTAGTGATTCCAGTCTTAAACATTAATAATGCATAAAAAATTGTAAATAATAAATCTAGAGATTCGCACATTGTTACCAATTATACGAACATCTCTGTCATTAATATCTGCGTTCTTCATTTGAACCTCTTAAACTTCAACCTCAAGCATGCATGCATCTGTCTCATGTCACTTAAATTTCTTGTTCCCTACTTCAAACCGACATTCATGACTCAATAGTCAACGAAGCTCATGGGTTTAAGATTCAAATATTCAATGCCACACTTTAATTGTTAAATCTTTTTATGTTGGGCTGAAGAGAAGTCAAGCCAACTTATTGGCCAGCCACGCTTTTTTCATAAATTGGGCAACCTCAATTGGCCAATTACTAGCTCAACTACTGCCAATATTCTATTAGGGCTGGGTTTGATACAAGAAAATGAACTACCCTTAGCAATATAATATTATTTTGAAGTTGACCTCAGAATCTTAGTCATGGGGGGAGGTGACCAGTGCGCTAAATTCGTAGCCCAAACTATGAGCTTTTAGCTAGCTTAAGATCTCAACTTCATGGTGTGAATTTAATATTAAATAAAAATAATGGGTCCTTGTTGTACATTGTCATGGGAAATGAAGTATGAGAGACAGTTGGGAGTTAGATGGCCAATGCATGAAGAAGGACCTCTCTCTATTGAGCTACTATTACCAACTTATGCGCCTCGTAAGTACCTTATGCTAAATCCTACCTACATTCTTTGTTTTATTTATAACTTTATTTTATTTTTGGTTGTTTATCTTTTGGGATCGAAAAATGTAAGCCACTTGGACTTTTCTTCCTTTTTTTCCCTCTTTTTTCTAGATGATGAAGTGTGGCCTATCTATGTGAGTATATAAGTATTGGATGACATACGTACGAAATTATAAAAAAATGTATCTCACTAAAATTAATAAAGACAAATATAGCAGCAAGAAGTTCGAGCAGATATTGTCTCCGTGTTGTAAGTGCATGGATGGTGACGATGAAAGTATTTGAAATGAATATATTCACCTATCATATTTATATATATATTTTGGCCTTTTTAGCCTTAGAAATTGAGGAATGACATTGTTTGAATGTAAAATTGATCAATACACTATCATTCATTACGAATAAATACGTTTCTGACTTAGAAGTGATGAGAATGCTGTTTGTTGGTGGTTGGGACTGACTGATTCCTACGTACTGATCTAAAAAGTGCAATAGGGATAGACTCAAATAACATAATATATATATATATATATATATGATATATATATTATAATATATATATATATATATATATATATATATATATATATATTATATATATATATATATATATATATATATAGAGAGAGAGAGAGAGAGAGAGAGAGAATATGGGAACATTGGTACCAAGTTCTTGCATTGAACTTGATAGTGAGGTGGCCAAATCACCTCCCTACATCACACCTTAAAATGGAGCATCTTTTTATAATAGGCGAATAGTGATGGAGACTCTCTCTTCAAGGTGTGATGTAGGTGGGGATTTTGTCACATCACTACCAAGTTCAATGGAGAACTGGTACCGAAGTTTCTCCATATTCTCTCTTCTCTCTCTCTTTCTATATATAAATATATATATAATATATAATATATATAATATATATATATATATTATATATATATATATATTATATATATATATATTCTAACGGAGCCAACTTAGATTGAACCTAAGGATGCACCTTAAAAATTAGATTATATGCAATCAATTTATTTGATCCACTCCGTTCATTTTGATCTATATGATTTGGATATCATGTAAACCAAAAATTAGGCATATTTGGTTGTTTTTACTAATACATCAAGTGATAGTAAAATTAACGGTTTATGACAACACAACAAAAAAGACAATGAAAAATATGTGGTAGAAATATTCACATATCATGATTTTTATTTTGTAGATATTTTAAGACATTTAGATCATGATGAATGAAGCAGATCGTCCATTAAAGTAGCCCAATTCATACATTGAGAGGTGCATCCTTAGATGTACCCTAAGGAGCCTCCTTAGGTACATATATATATATATATATA